AGACCCTGAACTGTTGAGCAGCTGAAATCCTATATCAAACAAGAATGGGAAAACATTTCACTTTCAAAACTACAGCAACTGGACTCCTAAGTTCCCAAACGCTTACAGAGTGTTGTTAAACATGCCCTTGTCCCAACTTTTTTGGATCGTGTTTTTGGCATCAAATTCAAAATGGACATATATTTTTCAAAATCAATAAAAATTCTCAGTTTCAACATTTGATGTCTTTGTAGTATTTTCCTTTAAAAATATGGTTTAATTGATTTGCATCCTATGTTTATTTACATCCTGCACAGCGTCTCAACTTTTTGGAAATGGGCTTGTAATTATTTAGGAGAACTGTATGGCTGCAGACCTGAAAAGCAGAGTTAGTTGTTCATATCTGCAGCCACACAGACCTCCTTAATAGAAACTGTTTAACTCAAGTAGAAATAGGACTGAAATATGGGGCTTTTATAAGGCCTCTGCCTTATAGGTACTTGGGAATGATGCTTCATAAGAGTGTTTTAAATGAAACAAATGCATGTAACTTTAGTTTTTATGCCCCTTATGTCATTTACTTCATCAAACATCTTATGTCATTTTGCAAATATTGACATAAGCTGCTCATAAACATTGGACGCTAATGCATGTTTTATGAAGGTAGCCCTCAAATAAAGCGTTACCCAGTAATCTATTAGCATGCATCACATGGTCACAGTATTGTGTCATATATTATATATTGTATAATGCAGTTTTTATGTAGGTATTCTGTCATATCCACACAACAATTGAATCTGCTGGAACCAACTTGTTGCCAACCTCAGAAGACAAAGAAAACAGACGGAGGCCCAGTGACAGGCAGGAGGACTGGCAATCTGACAGCCTGTATTTGGTGCAGATGGCATCATTGCTACAGTGTATCTGTCAGGCATTCTTAACTGTGTCTAGTTTAAGGCCACTAAGGTGTGGAGTCTAAAACCATGGCTGAAAATATCCAGTGTCCACTTTTTCCCACTGTTCACACAGTGGTGAAAATATGTGATTTGTGGCAGGTATGATGAAATATTTGGAATTAGGTAGCTGAAAACTTGTAGGGTAAATTAGGCCAGACACTGGTGTGGCAGGTGCCTCCACAGCCCCCAGCCATGAAGACAAGCGCCACACCTGTTCCTGGACTTTACAGGCCAGTTTTTCAGACACTAGCCTCTATTTCTAGGCAGTTGAATTGGTCTGAGGCGAGTGTGTAATGGAGGTATGCAGTTTGCACAGTGCTAGTTGGTGGGGTTCTTATATTGTTATATCTACAGCCTTTTGAATATAAGACTGCATCATTAGCCATTTCCTATAGCTTTACAGCAAATCAAGCAAGCAGGTCATCACTCGGTTCTAAAATGACTGGCAATAATTTGGCCAAAAGGCTAATTTATACTATTTTCCTTCACCCCAAATGTCAATCTATGAAAATGAGCACAACTATGGATAAATTTCAGGCTTCAATTTTGCCTATTTTTGAAGATGACAGTAAATTATACAGTGTCAGAAACAACATTAGCACATCTATTTGAGACTTAAACTACTCCACACAGTTTGAAGCAAGTGTGCACTGCCAAAGAGAAAGGTACTGTGTATGTTACAACAATGGTTTATGGTCCAACTGCATACATTAAGTATGTTTTTACTACACTCTCAGAAATAAGGGTATTAAACTGACATGGGGGCAGTATCCCTCTTGTCACTGGGGTGGTACCCTACCACCGCACTTGCCCAAGACAGTTTAGTACCTTATTTCTGAGAGTTTGTGATGATTCAACATGCATTTCGCACAATGCTATTTGGTGGGTATAAGCATTGGTACCACTTATTTGGATAGCCCACTGTAGATACCTTCCACTGGACTGTTCCATCTTAATTCATCTTAATTTTCACAAATCCTAAACCCGGTGTGAAATACAGGGAGTCCCGGGGGTGGTCCAGGACCCCCAGTTAACCTTTCGGGCCCCTTGAATGTCTCAGAGTCAAAATTCTAGGGGCTTCCTCAAAATAAACCTGTCATGATGTAATGTTGTCCGTTAAAAGTCCGGGAAAGGTCGTTCAGTGCATTTACATGCACTCAATCGTAATCAGACTTCTGCAGTAATCTGATTATTCAAATAGTCATGTAAACAGCACACTGATTTCTTACAGGACTAGAAATCTGATTTAGAAATTCGATAAAGAGAGCTGGATTTTAGCTCAGTAATCAGATTTCTCAGTGCATGTGAACCCTTACTCTGATTTCTTTCGGATTTCTCAGTCTGCGCATGTGCAAAAACAGGCCGCGGTACCGCGGTCTGCGAGACACAGCAAAACACTTTTGGAGCGATAGTGAAACCAACTACAAGCTTGACGAAAATTCTTCATCTTCTAGATGATGTATGTTCATAGTTTCAGGTAAAGTAGCACAATGTGTTTAAACAAAAAAAACAGCGGTGTGAAGTTTGAGGTTTAGGTTACATTTACGTCACGTAAAATGGTTGCAAAGCGGAAATCCGATTACTGCCTGACTCATGCAGACCCGGAGTTTCCCATTATCTGATTACTCAAGCGCATGTAAACGCATTGATCGGATTACTGACAAAATCTGATTTTCTGCAGTTATTGGATTAAGTGCATGTAAACGCACTCATTGTTTAGCTGCTTCTGTCTTTGATATTCTTAACTAACTAGTGACGCAGCACTGGTCTGCCTCAGGGTGGCAATATTGCAAATTGGTTCACCTAGTTGGTCCTTCATAGCGAATGTAACTGTGCCCAGGTCTCAATGAATGTGTGGAAGAACACATGACCAAACTAGAAAGGAGCACGTTCAGAAGAAGAATTGTTAAACCAATCAATGCCACTAAGGCAATCCAACAATGCTGAAGAGGCCAGCCAACATGGGACCCCACCAAACCCCAGGGTTATTTCACACACTACCTAGCTCCAATCATAACCCCCCATCCTCGGTCCAAATTCTTACCTTAACTTAGTTGCTGCTGAGAATTTACTAAGTTTCACCAGATAATTTGTTAATAATTTGAACATCGGTAGATAATATATTGGGGCTATCTAAATAAGGCGGAACCTTAGCAACATTAACCTTGTAGTTCCAGAAGCAAACTTCAGACACCAGACATACCTTGGCTGATTAACTACAATCAGGGATAATGGGGAAAACTGTGTAAAAGCATTGCTTTAACGGAACCACCACTTGGGTTGAGCTCTCTTTCTTGAACAATGTCATCCAGTCGCTCCCCTAACAGTGCACTTGTAACTTCACTTTGTCGCATATGAAAGCATAAAAAGCGTACGTCTGTACTTCATTCCTATTGCAAGGTTTTGTGTTATATTAAAACAAATAAGAAACCGCCTTCGATAAAGTGTTCAAAATGGTTCCTTTATTTCCATACCGGAAACAGCATAGACACGGCCACCAGCAGCGAGCAGAGGGATTCGGCGCTGTGGAGAGCGGCGAAAAAAGGGCAAGTGGACACGTACCATCATAGGGCATGATCGTAAAACAAAGCATGTGTGTTTGGCAAATAGTCGTAAAGGTTAGCCTGCACTTTCTGCTAACACATAAATGAGGAGAGCCAGATACGTCCATATTTGGTCTGCAGTGAAAGTTTACGGTGACCTGACAGTGGAGTGCAGAAGGTGCAGGGTACTGTCTAGATACTAACCCAGTCCTGGACACCCTGTACATCCTGTCTGTTGACAGTATGCATCCATGCAATATGGTTAATTCATAGAACAGGCCATGTGAAAAAGACTCTTATTTCCTTTCATGATGCATAGAAAGGATCTCCATGTTTTGAGTGGCCTAATTGCTGCAGTTGTTGTCTGTTTCTGTTATTAACCGTTGCAGAGGCTTAGCAACCATTGACTGGTGTAGACACATCAGTTGTGTGAGGGCAATTTAGAGCCACTTTAGAGTAGAGCTTTACAATGTGTTATTATTTGGGTTTCATTTATTTTTCATGGAGATATTTCTTGATGAGGATACACAGCCATTCAGGATCAGTGTTTATGGGATTTTTGCACATTTTTGTCAATTAGGATATAAATTTAGCTAATGTGTTTTTGGTAAGGTATGTTTTGTGAGGCCAAGCAGATGGCTGTGGAAATGAAATTGTCATTCTTCCTAGTGACACACAAGCCGTGTATATTTACATTACTCGTTTTTATGTTTTGCGATGAGTGGAAAGCCATCCTATTGTCTTAGTATGTAGCCTACGACTAGTGCACTTGGAACAAACCTTGCCTATTCTATTTATTTAAAATCGTGGTAATCAGTAGGACAGCATGATGTGGACAAAAGATAATATTGCAGCTCTACTGCTTCACATAAACAAGATTGTGCTGCATTATTCTGACCAAAATAATTGCTGGAATATGTGAATCTCTTGCTTCTACACCCCCCCACCCCCCAGAAACTCAACTGAAACATCTGGCGTAGTTCAGGATGATCACAATGAAAACTGTACAGATGTCAGTTTTACAAACCGCCAGTCATCACTGTCATAGCGAAACCTTGTACCTCATGTAACGTTCAAGCTAACGTAAAAGGGAGCTGACATGTTCAAATAAAACTTACAAGCTTTTGATATGACAGTAATGTAATATTGCAATATCGATTAACAAACTATATATAGTCCAGCCAGAGTAATCACGGCCACTTACTGGTCAATACCCACTGGTTAGCTGACAAATAGAAACCTGAACGCCTTACCTTCTCAGCCATAGTCATGGCGGAGCCGCCGTGGATGCCCAGTATGGGCATGGAGGTCTGAGACGAGACAAAGTCCAGCATCTGAGCGACGGCCTCTTGGTCCGTCCCATCGCCATACACCAGCCCGTGCAGTCTCTGCCGGGACATCAGCTCACACAGGTGTGTCAGCATGCTCCCTGGGTCCGTTTGGTTCATTTGCACACCGAGGACGCTCACGTCCAGGGGTGCGCCGACCCCCCGGGCGGGGCGCAGAGCCGATTCCGGCACAGCCCGCGTCTGGCCCAGGATCACCGCCACGCTCAAAGATGGGGGCTTCTCTGCGGCCCTGGACCAACCAAGCGAAGCCCAGACGATCACCACCAAATGGACTACAACTCCCATGATTCTCGGCTTCAGCCCCTGGAAAAACAGGAAGCAAACCATGATGTTCAGGTACTTTATAATGTGTTGGTGAAATCAAACTTGGGTTGCGACCTGTGGGCCGCAGTGTTGGACATAAGTGGGTTGCTAGGGAGCTTCTTTGATGAGTATATATTTTTCCCACAAGATAAATTACTCCTGCATTATGTATGATCTGTGCATTATAGAGTGCGTTAGATAGCGTGAAAGATGATGGTCGGGGTGTTGCTGCATTCGAAACTTCGAGTCTATTTTTGCTTTTTGCCACATGCTAAGTGCCATTAGAAACTAGAGGTGTGTATTCTGACTAATTTTGATACCCAAATTCCCATTTTTTAGGTGACAGCACTGGCGTTGCACAAAAATATAGCAGTATGCAGAGGAACATGCTTCATTACTCAAAAACAGCTGAGGGAAATCAGTAGGTTTCCATGCTGGATGATTAACCGGGGCTGCCTCCTCAGATGAGCTAATGAACTAATAGAGCTAAGTGTCAGACTGGATGCTGATGAGGACTTGCTGGCTTCTACACAAGGAACTTCCTTCTCAGTGGATGATGTGCCAACATGTTATTTGTCAGAGAAACATATTTTCATTGTTTTTGGACCTGAATTAGAAAGCTGCACTATCTTGGCCTTCAGTCTCGTCCTTAATTACGCATCCTGATAACATGTTCAGGCATCTGTAATTCTGAGTGGCAAAGTATACCATGACGCACTTACTCACAAATAAGAAAGACACTGTTGCATTTCACTGAATTGTTAGCCTCCCTGTCTTCCCACAATTAAACATGAATACCCATTGTTGGTTCTTTTATAAAAAAGAAGCTTGAGGTAGCCAAAGGTGATCAGAGTACAGGTTATCGTACTAAGCTAGCTGACAAAATGGATCCGAACAGATTTCAGTAAGACACGTGATGTCCAACTAACCATTAATGATATGTATTAATGTGTTCATACTGAAGGTAAGAGCTGAATGGATAACATCTATATACAGGAATATACAAAAGTTTAAACATCTCCTGTCAAAATACACATTGATTTTCTAAGTGAAAATAAGTCAAGTTTGCTCTAAAAGGAATAAACATAAATGTTAATATTTTTTGAAATTTTTTATGCACAATTTGTTACGTTTAGCATATTAGAGAACAATAACACATAAAATATAAAATGGGCCATAACTTGTGCACAAGACACTTTTTATGTTTTGTTTTTCTCCAATATTTTAAATTCAGCAAATAAACAAAACATGCAATTTGACCAGGGGCACTCAAACATTTGCATATGACTGTACATAATAAATGGGCAATTTTTAATTTTTAATTATTTTTCTGTTCCATAATCTAACTAAAAGTCTAATAACATAGAGCTAAGCATGTTTAATTATTTTATCGTGTTCACTATTGTAGAACAGTATCTTAGGTAAAAGTGGACCGAATACTTAAGGATCAAGTTTGTCTTAATTCACTTATTTCACACGAAATAACTGGTGGGTCCTGAGACAAACACTACCAGTACAGATGGATCCTGGCATGAAAACGTTTGGGAACCCCTGATGTAGACAAAGCACAAACAGGAGACAGACATACACTATATATGGCCAAAAGTATGTGGACACTTGACCATCACATCAATATGAGCTTGTTGGACATTCCATTCCAAAACCTGGGGCATTAAAATAGGCCCCCTTTTGTGGCCAATTCAGTCAAAAGAGCATTTGTGAGCTTGGGCACTGGAGTTTGACGAGAAGGCCTGGCTCACAATCAACATTCCAATTCATCCCAAAGGCGTTCAGTTGGGTTGAGGTCAGGTCTCTGTGCAGGCCCCTGCAGTTCCTCCACACCAAACCCGTCAAACCATATCTTTATGGATCTCACTTTGTGCACAGGGTTACAGCCATGCTGGAACAGGAAAGGCTCTTCCCCAAACTGCTGACTCAAATTTGGAAGCATATAATTGTCTGAAATATGTTTGCATGCTGTAGCATCGCCCTTTACTGTAACTGAAGTGTCCAAACCCTGAAAAACAGCCCCAGCACATTATCCCTCCTCCACCAAACTTTACTGCTGGCACTATGCATTCTGGTAGGTAGTGTTCTCCTTACATCCACCAAAGCCAGATTCATCTATCAGACTGCCAGACAGTGAAGCATATTTTAAGATCAGGCCCGCCGCACAATCCTTTTTGGCCCGCTATATATATAATTTTTTCTATTAATATTGGCCCATTTCACAGTGCGCAACACTACAGTCTCCAGCATGCACTGCAACATAATGTGCTCTGACTCTCCTACCCCAACAACAATCTATGGGACAGCAGTTACACCTCAATTCTACACAATTTTACACAATTCCACACCGGTCATATCACCCAAATGCATTTTAGCTGCAGTTCAATCAACATAACATCAGCTCAGCAGCTCGGAAATTGAGCCCAAGTATTAATGAACTTGCAGCAAATAAAAGACGCCAGGTGTCTAGTTCAAGCAAATAGGTAGGTTTAAAAGACCGAGCTCCAGGGGACATTTACATTTTGAATATTTCAAGTGCCCATATAATATTTCATGGTCTACTACAAGTGTCTGTACTTTTACTGTTTTATTTTTACTGTTGAAGTTTTTGCATATTTTGAATAAACAATAGCCAGTTGGGGTTATTGCACGACATTAATTGAAAATGGAATACATTTTTTTTTTCTCTGGCCCACAGATCTATTGAGATTTTTTAATATGGCCCTTTTACAGGTTGAGTTTGACACCTCTGCTCTAGAATAAGTTTCCACTGCTCCAGAGTCCAGTGGCAGCGTGCTTTACACCACTCCAGCTGACGCTTGGTATTGCGCATAGTGATCTTAGGCTTAGGTGTGGCTACTCGGTCATTGAAACCCTCTTCATGAAGCTCCCGGTGCACAGCTCTTGTGCTGATGTTGCTTCCAGAGTCAGTATGGAACTCTGTAGTGAGTGATGCAGTGGAGACTTATAAGTGCTGTGCACTTCAGCAGTCAGTGACCCATCTTTGTGGAAGCTGTGTCTACCACTTTGTGGCTGAGCTGTTGTTTCTCCTAGACACATTTAAAGTCACTTCAGTAGGACCCATTCTACTGCTAATGTTTGTCCAAGGAGAATGCATGGCTATATGCTTGATCTTATACACCTGTTAACCTGTTAGGTTTTGCATAAAACATTTTAATAGCGTAATTAGGAGGTGTGTCCACATACTTTTGGCCATATAGTGTTATTTTGTCCACAAACTTATGGCAAATACAACAGTACTCTACATCTCTAATAAATCACCAAAAGTACTTTTTACTTTACTTTTTAATTACCTTAAACTGTTGGAATGGTACAGTGGTTCACTTACTGCTAATTAGCTATGCTGGACAATGCGAGTGGATCTGAATGGCCTACTTAATTGATAAGTGTCTTCAATACTTTATAGTGGAATGTGGCTGAATTTGATGGCTGGCTGATTCCAGATGTCTTAGTGTAGCTGCATCTTAAAGCGCAGTAATTATTAATGGCATCAAGCAATAACATGAATACATTACAGCTTGATGAGTTGAGAACAGCTTACGTAGGGTTAAGAGTAGAAGTGCTGCTGCCAGCAAAATAAGTTGACTGATGGACAGCTCACCAGAGATTTAATAAAAAGATGGCAATTATACAGTGCCCTTTGAAAGTAGCAGCATCCAGGTTACTAGAAATTACAAAAAAAAAAAAATAACGTCAATAAAGTGCTTCAGAATTTCTGGCACCCCTAGATTTTTGTACGAACAAAAGCTTATTGAAGTTATATTTCCATTTATTTTTGACATTTTCAAGTTCATCTGAGTTTCTTCGGTGGTCTTCCATGGCACTCTATTTTATGGAGGTTTAACTTTGATGTGTAGACGTTCTTATTCATCTGTGAATACACAGAAAGACACATCGATGAAACCATTTAAAAGGTTGTTGAGCTTCATAAATTAAGCCAGCTATAAAATCTAGCAACATGCGTTAAAAGGGGTTATTAAGGTAATAACTAAGACATTTACAACAGCTCTGGAGGTGATGAACCTGCTTTGAAAAGGGCTGTTATGTTAACATTGAGTAAGAAGGATGGGCAAAGAGGCACAGAAGATTCCCCAGGCATAGACAATAGGCCTGCGGGTGTTGAGAGCCCCATAGGGTGACCAAGGCCCAATCCATTTCTTATGTTTACCCCTACCCCTCGTTTTTGAGTGTCACCTTGTCCCTTGGAACTGAGTCACAAGAGGTAGTGGTTGAAATCTTCCCTACGAAATGGGACCCTCAAATAAAAAGAGCATAACTTCATTAACAGGCTACCAGCGCTGCTCTGTAGGCAACCCTGCCAGACTGTAGTGACAGCAGAGGAGGGTAAAGTTCAGCAACCTCACTGTTGGGCTTTAGTCACATTACATTTGTTACATTAGTTACATCTAGAGAATTATTTATTATCGCCCACCCCTAATTCTTCTGTGATATTCGGCAGCTTCTTGTTCAGATTTTCCCGTTCCACCTTAAATGGTGCGGCAGTTCTGACGCCTGAGGCACCAGAATGCACCGATTACGATGGAATAGAAAATGTATCTAGCAAGCTACCAAGACATTAGCATAGTACTAGAGATTTTTTTTGCTTGTTATGAAGAAAAGGACCATAATACATTGAAACGGCATTAAACTAAGATAATACAGTGGTTATTGTAATTTATTAACTGAGAAAATTCTCACATTGATGGGTTCCTTTGGTCTCTTGTGCAGCCATCTTGCTGGTTTTTCTGTTTTTTCTCATAACACTCTGTTTGGAGTGTACCTCTGAAAAATCTCCTTTTGGAGGTTCATGTAGCCCTAACACTTCGCCCTACCCCTCTATCTCAACAAGAATTGGGACACCCTACCCCTAGGCATAAATGCCCAAAATGGAGGAGTAAGGGCTAAGTGGTAGGGGCAAGGGGTGAAATGGGTTTGGGCCCAAGCCTCAGAATAATCTCTGTTCTAATAAG